ATTGGGGGTGCTTTGACACCCGGATGTGAGCTGCTGTCGCGAATTGCACGCTTTTGTTAGTTTCTGTCTGAGTGCCTGTAAGGCTTTAAATTGCAATGGGAAAAAAAAAAGAAAATATTAGGGTACGAAGCTTCCCCCTAATACTGATAAAAAAAACACACACACATATATATATATATATACACATATTTCTATTTCAAAATCGATCAGATTTCTTTCTTTTTAAATCCAATTAAAATATGGCAAACAAGTGGATTCCGAAGCTTAATATCAAATAGAAATACCCAACATAAAAAAAACTATGTATGTTTTTCTATTTCGAAATCGATTAGATTTCCTTTTAAAAATTAAATAAAATATGGCCAAAAAATTGGATGTCGAAGCTTTTCCCTTATATTAAACCCTAATATCATTTTGTTTTTTTCCCTGTTTCAAAATCGATTAGATTTCCTTTTGAAATCTAATGAAAAAAACAAAAAATTGATTTTGAAGCTTTCCCCTAATATCAAATTAAAATCCAATTATTAAAATATGTTCCAAAATTGGATTTCGATGCTTCCCCTAATCTTGCATGAAAAATTCCAATATAAAAAACTAAATTTGTTCTATTTCAGAATCGATTAGATTTCCTTGTAAATTCAAATTAAGATATTGCCAGAAATTGGATTTCGAAGCTTTCCCCTAATATTAAACCCTCATATCAAAGACTATTTTTTCTATATCAAAATTCATTAGATTTCCTTTTTGAAATCTAATTAGAATATGGTCAAAAATTGGACTTTGAAGTTTTCCCCTAATATTACATTTAAAAACCCTAATATAAAATATTATTTTTTCTTTTTTGAAATCGATTCGATTTCCTTTTAAATTGTAGTAACAAAAATAAAAACAAAAACCGGATTTCGAAATGTTTCCTCTAATATTAAATTACCAGCCCTAATATATTTATTTAAAAAAAACTGTTTCAAAATCGATTAGTTTTCTGTTTAACATATAATTAAGATATTGCTAAAAATTGGATTTCGAAGTTTTCCCCTAAGATTAAATTAAAACCACTAATAAAAAAAACTATGTTTTTTCGATTTCAAGAATCGATTAGATTTCCTTTTGACATCCAGCAAAAATATTGCCAGGAAATGCCAAAAAGTGGATTTCGAAGTTTTCCCCCAATATTATATAAACGTTGTAATATAAAATACTTATTTTTTCGACCTTAAAAGACCCTAGTTTAAAAAATCACCGGGGCTGACTAGTTTTTATTTTTTGGTGGTGAAATCCTGAAATGGGACCTTCATGTTTAATTTGTTTTTGAAAAGGTATCAATTAAAAGTCAAACTGGCCAGCCTGAAATTTCCCAAAATTTAACGCGGACCCTAGTAAAAGGAATCAATGTAATATTTTAGTATTTAGGGTACGTTTAGTAAAAGGAGGTGGGGATTAGTAAGGTTTTCAATTTAATATAAGGGGAAGCTTCGAAATCCAATTTGGCAAGATTTGAGTTAGATTTTGAATAGGAATTCAATCGGTTTTGAAATATAAAGTTCATTTTTTAAAACGAATGTTTTCAATTTAATGTCAGGGGGAAGCTTTGGAATCCAATTTTGGCAATATTTTAGTTAGATGTTATTTAAAAAATGTTTTCCAATTTAGTTTTTTTAACCAAGGGGGAAATTTCGCACCCTCATACTAAATACCCACTAAATACAAAAAACTATTCCGTGTGTTCATTATTGGGTGGGGAGGGGCAGACGGTTTATTATGACGCAGGGATTGGTCAGGCATCACTTGCTGGAATTATTGGATTCTTTTGGGATGACTGGTATGATGTTTAGTCAGGCATGGTTCCCTTCAGTCATGCACGATTTTTGCAAAAATCCAATTTAGGCACGACCCCAAAATCCCAGCCCGGCAAATTCCGGCCCGCGCCCTGCAAATTCCGGCCCTGCGTTTTTCCAAAATCAGGCAAAACCAGTAAATCAGGTATTAAGTCAGGTGTAGTTACCTTTTAAGTCATTAAGGCTAGTCAGGCATGGTTCCAGTGGGTACCTTTTAATTGTGAAGGCTAGTCAGGCATGGTTCACTGAATTCAGGGGCATGGGTACCTTTTAATTATGAAGGCTAGTCAGGCATGGGTTCTGTTAAGTCGTGGGTACCTCTTGATTATGAAGGCTAGTCAGGCATGGTTCCCTTAAGTCGGGTGTGGTTACGCTTTAAGTCATGAAGGCTAGTCAGGCATGGGTACCTTTTAAGTGATGAAATCTGAATCAGGCGGAGCTCCTATTCTAAATGTGTTAAATGCAATTGTTCAGTGTGGAAAATCGATTTTTTGGCTGGTCTACGGGCAAACCCTGTGTCTTCCAATACCATAGCGTGCTGATGTCGCTTGCCTGCATAATAGTTAAGGCCAAAGCTTAGGTCATCAGTGTGATCCTGAAATGGCGCCACGACCAAGAAGATGACATGTGTAAAATGGGCCCTGGATTAACAAAGGCTGACTAATGAATTTGGAGGATGCCACTAAAGTATGACATGTAATCACTTTTGAGGAGCACTCTATGGCACGCAGCGCGCGCAGCCTGCTTTACGGTTTAGCGTTTGAAAGTTTTAGGCTTTGCCTCTATGGCACGCAGCGTTTGAAAGTTTAACCGTTTACCTCTATGGCAGGCTGTGCGCGCAGTACGCGTTACGGTTTAAAGTTTGAAAGTTTTAGGGTTTATGTGTGTGGCACGCAGTGCGCGCAGCGCGCATTAGGGTTTAGGGTTTGGAAGTTTTATAGTTTATTTTATTGCATGCAGCGTGCACAGCGTGGGTTGAACTTTAGGGTTTCGAAGTTTTAGGGTTAACCTCCATGACACGATGGTTTAGGTTTGGAGATTTTAAGGGGTACTTCTATGGCACACAGCGCGCGCAGCGCTCGTTAGGGTTTAGGGTTTAGGGTTTGGAAATTTTAGGGTTTACCTCTATGACACGAGAGTTTCAGGTTTGAAGATTTTAGGGTTTATTTCTATTGCACGAAGCGCGCGCAGCGCGCATTAGTGTTTAGGGTTTGAAGGTTTTAGGGTTTATCTCTGGCACGCAGCGCGCACAGCACGCATTAGGGTTTAGGGTTTGGAAGTTTTAGGGGTTATTTTATTGCATGCAGCGCGCACACCGCGGGTTAAACTTTAGGGTTTGGAAGTTGCATAACACGATGGTTTAGGGTTTGGAAATTTTAGGGTTTACTTCTCTGGGACACAGCGCGCGCACCGCGCATTAGGGTTTAGGGTTTGGAAGTTTTAGGGTTTACTTTATTGCATGCAGCGCGCGCAGCGCGCATAGAGTTTAGGGTTCGGAAGTTTTAGGGTTTCAAGGGTTCCAAGGTTCCAGGGTACCAGGGTCCCACGGTTTCAGGGTTCCAAGGTTTCCAGGGTTCCAAGGGTTCCAAGGGTTCCACGGTTTCAGGGTTCCAGGATCCCAGCAGGGTGCCAGGTGTGCAGGGTTGCAGGGTTCCAAGGTTGCAGGGTTCCAGAATCCTTGAGGGTTCCTGGGTGCCAAGGTTCCAAGGTTTCAGGGTTCCACGGTCGCAGGGTTCCAAGGTTCCAGGGTTTCAGGGTTCCAGGGTTCCGGGGTTCCAGGGTTCCAGGGTTCCAGGGTTCCGGGGTTCCAAGGTTTCAGGGTTCCAGGGTTCCAGGGTACCAGGGTCCCACGGTTTCAGGGTTCCGGTTTCAGGGTTCCAAGGGTTTTCCAAGGGTTCCAAGGGTTCCAGGGTTTCAGGGTTCCAGGATCCCAGCAGGGTGCCAGGTGTGCAGGGTTGCAGGGTTGCAGGGTTCCAAGGTTGCAGGGTTCCAGAATCCTTGAGGGTTCCAGGGTGCCAAGGTTCCAAGGTTTCAGGGTTCCACGGTCGCAGGGTTCCAAGGTTCCGGGGTTCCAGGGTTCCAGGGTTCCGGGGTTCCAGGGTTCCAGGGTTTCAGGGTTCCAGGGTTCCAGGGTTCCGGGGTTCCAAGGTTTCAGGGTTCCAGGGTTCCAGGGTTCCAGGGTTCCAGGGTTCCGGGGTTCCAGGTTCCATTCCGGATTTTGAAGGCTGCAAGTCCCCGCGAGCCAGCCCCAGCCCTAGAGATTGAAACCCAACAGGCCCTGCTGTTGGGAACTTGGTTTCAGACTTGGTTTCAGACTTGGTTTCAGACTTGGTTTCAGACTTGATTCCAGACCTGTAGTTTGCCCAAGTGAGAACTTGTAACGCAGCACTTTGTGCAAAGCCTTCATAGCTTCATCCTTTTGAACCCACCCTCCCTCAAGCATGTAACCGTGATTCGTGCAAAGTACTTGCTGTAGTTTGCCCAAGTGAGAACTTGTAACGCAGCACTTTGTGCAAAGCCTTCATAGCTTCATCCTTTTGAACCCACCCTCCCTCAAGCACGTGAACCACGTGGTTCGTGCAAAGTACTTGCTGTAGTTTGCACAAGTGAGAACTTGTAACGCAGCACTTTGTGCAAAGCCTTCATAGCTTCATCCTTTTGAACCCACCCTCCCTCAAGCAAGTGAACCACGTGGTTCGTGCAAAGTACTTGCTGTAGTTTGCCCGAGTGAGAAATTATAACGCAGCACTTTGTGCAAAGCCTTCATAGCTTCATCCTTTTGAACCCACCCTCCCTCAAGCATGTGACCGTGATTCGTGCAAAGTACTTGCTGTAGTTTGCCCAAGTGAGAACTTGTAACGCAGCACTTTGTGCAAAGCCTTCATAGCTCCATCCTTTTGAACCCACGCTCCCTCAAGCATGTAACCCACATGGTTCTTGCAAATGACTTGCTGCCAGCACAGATGTAGTTACGAAGAAAGGAAGGAATTAACAGTAAAAAGTAGGTATCAGGGGGGGTTAGCATATATATATATATATATAGATCCATATAGCAGATATACATAGATTATAATTTACCCAGATACATCAACCCAGCACAAGAACATGTTTCTGTTTCGGAAAAGAAAATCATACCGCGGTGGAGAGGACCTTCTGACAACGCAGGTACGTCATGAACATGGTGGAAGGTGATCGCATTCACGATCTCCACCTTGATGGTGGGAGCGACAAGTGATTGGACTGGTTGGATAGAATTTGGGCATTTATATGGCTATGGATCAATACCTCTAAATAGCAACTTCAGGGGGATGAACATCCATTTACCAGCTATTTTGATGTTCACCAGGGGTACCAGGGTTTTGACACACTGCCATATCATGATATTGGGATTTTACATGATTTAAGCAAGAATCATGGGAATACAATTGATGTCCAATGGGGGTTATAGTGGTTTTATGGTATATTTGATTCGAATGTGCTGGGAATTTCCAGCAAACCATGTTTGATTACCAGAGGGTATACCTACTGTTGATGGAGGAAATCTTTGCACCGCCTATATAGAAATGATGAAAGATACGGGGTAGTTATACTTACCTGGTGCTGGACTTTTGGCATCAATGGTATCAAGGCATTTTACTCATTTGATGGAGGGAACACTGGAATGAAGCGGAAATGAATGGCATCAACCATGCATTTTTTGTGTAGGGTATCCAAGATTGGCCATGAATCCATACAGGATTTGGTTCCTCTTTTTCAACCAAAGAAAACCCAGGTTGCCAGGTGAGTGGCTGCGATCTACCCTTGTTGGTTGATGATTATAGGATAGGTTATGTAAGGAATTTTACTAGCCAATATACACTACACACTATGAATTGGGAATCACGTTCTTAACCAGGCAGGACTTTTTCAGGGACAGCATGACCCAGGCTTTGAACACTGCTCAGGCGAGGTTTTGAACTAAAAAATGCTACAGTTCAGAAGCCTGGTACCTAGGGGACCCTGCACTATCTGCACTTCACATCCACATAAGTGGGATTTATCATGATGTATGGCTGTTCATCTCCCCAAAATATGATATAACATGGTATAAGATGAGCATGGCCGTGGCTTTCTTTGGGCTCCCCATCCGCAATTCCCTCACGGTGGGATCACCTGATGAAGCAAGTCATGTCTCAGTCCGGTATAACATAGTATAACACTATATTAAACACGGTATCACCATCATTAAAGCCACTATAATGTAATTCCCTTCAACTCCCATCAATATATACATATATATATATCATTAAGTCCCTTCAACTCCCATTAAAATGTTATGTTTCCACCATTTCGCTGGTTTTTGATTACATCCTAAAGGTTGATCAATCATCGAATTCCAATCGCTATGTTTGAGATTACTGATGGGCAAGGATGAACATTTTGGGATGATTATTGGAAATCACCCATTTAGACTATTGGTTAATCTTAAATTACTATTTAGAAGTTGCTATCTTCAATGATTATATTTAGTTTCATTAAGACATCTAAAGCACCCGCAAAGTCACAAAAACCATTTCCGCGACATCGCGAAACGCGCTGAGGTTTGAGCTTTGGCACCAGGGAGATTAAGGAGCGAAGCGAGTTCCGCTCCCCTCCGTGATAGTTTTTGCCATGGTCCTTCTGGTTTCCGCTTACTTGTAGGATCATCCCACGCTTCTCGCTTGCGTGGTTAATAACCATAGTGAAAAAACATCTATAATGCGGTAAAACAATGTCATGTTTACCAGCCATGACTGGGAATGGTCAAAATACAACCTATTTATATCATTTTATCTCTATTTATGGTGATGACTGGGGGATGGTAAACATGGCATGGCGTTTTACCCGAAAAAAAGATGGGATAAGCCACAGAAAACGGGGAGGTAGGATCACCAGGGGTCATGAAACACCACTTACGATCCGTGGGATGATCCTCCAAGTAGGAGAAATTCAGTTGCTGAACATCTGGCTGGGTAAATTATAACGACCTCACTGCGACCTCACTATAATCATAGTTAGTAAGGGGAATCATCCCCAAATGGCCTTAATTCAGGTTGGTGAAATATTATAATTTACCCAGAATCTGGGAATAGGCGACATGTGAGATGTGAAATCGCACAGTATGCAGGTCAACGATGGTCAACGGCTCATGGCCACATCATTCGGACGCCTCAGAACAGCAGTTAATAATATAAATAAATCCAATGAAATCCAGCTAGAGAAAAATCCTTGGAAATGTGGATTCAGCGGAACAGATTTCTTTTTGAGGATGGGGCTTAAAATGGAGAATATATATATATATATATACAAACAATCAGGGTATATATATATATACCCCTTTGGTAATCAAACATGGAAATGGAACATAATCCATTTATAGTTGAATTTCCCAGCTATAAACCTTGACTTTCGGCGACTTTCAATTGCCACGTTTGATTAGCGCGTGGAAATCTTAATGGGAAATTCTAAAAAAAACCAAGAACATGATGTATCAAAAAAAAACTGGCAGGTGGTATCCAATGACCGGTGGCGCCTCCACCAAGTTAAGAAAAACATGCCCATCCAAACGGCTGAACGGCTTTTTTCCGAAAAAAAAGCATATGCCCATCCTGCTGGGAATTCTGTTCATCTCATTTCTAACAGCGGTTCCCAGCTGTTCCCTTTTGACTCTGTTATACTTTTTGATACCCTCTGGTTATGTCAAAATAGCAATTGAAAATGGCCATAGAAATAGTGGATTTTCCCATTAAACATGGTGATTTTCCATAGTTATGTTAAATTACCAGATTTTACTTTTGGGGGAGAATGGTAATTTATACACAAGCACAAGTGAAACTTGTTTCGCAGGCTGGGAAGCTGATGTGATGATGATTGGCATCCCAAAATCACATTTTACCATGGGTGTATTTGATTGAGATGAGTTAAGTTCAAGGTGGTGCCCCCAAGATAGCGTTCAGTTGGTGAACATAACTCCAATCTCACTCTGGTTTTTGTTGGTGATATATCTATAGTTACTGGGGTTTATAAACCAATTTAGAACGTTTGGGGGGCACCACCTTGTTTGCTTTCTTGCGAGGAACGAATGGACCTGTGTTCAGGGAAAATCCTTTTTTGTTGATGCCAACAGTACCTCACACAGCACATGTCTTCCTGATTTGTCAAACCTAAGAATCACGAGTGAAATGGCAGTGTGTCAAAACCCTGGTACCCCTGTAGTTCACATCAAAATAGCAGGTAAATGGATGGTCATTCCCCTAAAAATGGTATTAATAGGTATTGACCCATACCCAAATGTTCATCACTTCATTCATCACACACTGGCATATGTTTCTGCCCATGCTGGAGTCTAATTTTCTCAACATTTAAGATTTGACTGAAGACGTATATATGCAGATGGGTCACAAGCTACAATGCTATATTTTGTGGGATGGACATATGAACATCCATGTATCAGCTATGTTGATGTTCCCCAGGGTAGCAGGTGTTTGATTCATAGCCATATGGAGGTTTCCTAAAAGGGGTGGTACCACCAAATCATCTATTTCTAGATTCAGTTTCCATTATAAACCATCTATTTTAGGGTACCCCCATTTATGGAACCCATATAGTATCATATAGTACTAATAACCCTCTGGTAAACATACAAAAAGCTATTGACAATGGCCATAGAAATAGTTGATTTACCTATTGAAGATGGTGATTTTACATAGCAAACTGTTAGTTTACCAGAGGGTAAACCTCCACTAATCACCATTAGAGCCCATTAAATCACAATGAAATCCCATTGAATCCCAATTAATCACCATTAATCACCAGTTTACCAGAGGGTAATACATCTCACCTGAAGATGTGGGTTTTCCACTATCGACTCACAGTGAAGTGTGCAAGCGTCGACACACTATGTATGACGATCAGGAAACCATGTATGGCCCGTGGATCAATGCCTATGGCTGGTGGTTCATCCCACTTACTGAGCAGGTTATAACCCTACTTGGTGGCTCATCCCACTTAGTAAGTGGGTTATAACCCCAGTTATAAATGGGATAAGTAGGGTTAATCCACTTATAACTGGGGTTATAACCCACTTACTAAGTGGGATGAGCCACCAAGTAGTTTTTGACGTTTTTTGAGTGGATTAACCCGACTTATCCCACCTGTTTGACTAGGTAGACTAGGGATATAACCTACGAATCGGATTCGTGGGATGAGCCAACAAGTATAGATATCATATGATATCATTTTTAGGGGGATGCACCCCTCATGACTAGCAGCTCTCAAAAAAAGGGGACGAAGCCTCATCTCCATATGTTGACCAGTTGGATTTGCCGAGATTGGGGGGTGGTCAGAACCCTCTCTGGTCATTTGTTACACTATTGAAAAATGGCTACCCTCTGGTGAACTCACATAGCTATTGAAAATGGCTATTTATAGTGGATTTTCCCATTAAAAATGGTGATTTTCCATTGCTATGTTAGTTCACCAGAGGCTAGTTGGTGGTTTGGAACATGATATTGGGAAAATATGGTATTATTCCAAACCACCAACTAGCCATTATTCAAAAATAACAATTGGGAACCTTTTCAATATATTATTCCCAATATATGGTATAGAATATTATGTTTTCCATATATTGGGAATCATACTGTACTCCCAACTGACTTTCATATTTTTCAGAGGGTGGTAGGTCAACCACCAACCAGATGGTGATTCATAGTTGATTTAGCCATTACCCTCTGGTTATGTCAAAATAGCTATTGAAAATGGCCATTGAAATAGTGGATTTTCCCATTAAAAATGGTGATTTTCCATAGTTATGTTGGATTTTCCCACTAAAAATGGTGATTTTCCATAGTTTACCAGAGGGTAAAATGGGTGATTTTCCAGTTCGCAAACCGTTCCCATTCTGCCGCCATGAGAGATCTCGTGGAATCCAGTCGTGACGGGCTTAACGTAGACCCACAATTTTTTTGGGCCCAGTACCCTCTGGTAAACATACAAAAAACTATGGAAAATCACCATTTTTAATGGGAAAACTCACTATAATGGCCATTTTCAATAGCTATTTTGACATAACCAGAGGGTAAAAAAAGTTGGCTTTTCAAAAAAAACATGAGCTATAGCTATAGGTATCATAAACATTCATAGACCATAGTGAAGTTATAAACAAACTTAACTATCCTTCGGGGGCCCCACATTGTATGCCAAGCAAGTCCGAATCAAATGGGATGACCGTCATGACCACGGGATCCCCGGGATCCATGGTTTCGTGAGTTTCGTGGCCTATAAATATCTAGTAACCTGCAAAGAGATGAAACATGACATACAACTAAAATAGTAAAGTATTATTTTTTATGTATTATGATATATTATGATATATTATGATGTATTATGATGTATTCTTGTGTACTAGTATGTATTATGTATTATTATGTATCCATTATTGCATTATTAGTGTCATTATTTTCTCATATACATAATATATATATATATAACCCATTCATTTTTCAGCGTACTTCATACGCCTCTGCCTCAGGAGATGCTTGGCCTCTTCCAACGCTACGAGTGCTTTGAGCAGGTAGGTAGTTGAATCCCTTAGTTTTTTGCCACAAATGGACAAATAACCAAAACCAGCAAAAAATGACATATTTTGTTGACTACCAAAGATTGACCATGAATACTACTGAATGGGGATATTTCTACCAACTTACAATTGAATGGCACCACTTTTTTTGTGCATTCGAGAAGGAACAAATGTCTGTAGGGCAAAGAATGCCCAGATGAGGAGCAAAGAATGCCCAGATGAGACTGCATGTGGATGCTGATTTTCGGAGTTTGACAAAACAAATATCCATGTGCCAGCTGTTTAGTAGAAAAGTCACGTGTCGCAAGGTCTATGTGCTTAGCCTTATCGATAACGGCCTGGACGATGTGTCTTGGCGTTTTTTTTTTGTTCGGAGGAGGAGTTGGTAGTGACGGGGTCAAGTTTGGTGAATCAATGGTGATGTTAGAGATTTCAACATATACCCTCTGGTTATGACTAACATAGCCATGGGAAATGGCCCATTTATAGATGGTTTACCTATTCAAAATGATGATTTTCCATGGCTATGTTAAATAACCAGATGGTATTTCACTGGATATTTATTGGGATATTAACGGAATAATGGAATATTAGCATATGAGCCGCTCTAAACGCCTCCCTTTGGCGTACCCAAAATGATACGACATAGGGAGTGACTGCAGGTTTTCAGAATGAGTATCAGGAATTCCGATCTGCCATTTACATGCCCCAAAGCTTGACACAACCTCAGTTTCTACTCCTTTTGCGCTTGCATCACTACTGCAACTACGTTCAGTTGCCAGTTGCCATGCTTGTGTTGGCACAACGAAGTCTATTGGAGTTCCGAAGCTACACACCCCCATGTTATTGCTGCCGACCTCATTCGAGTTGAAGTCCCACCTCCAAATCATTCGAGCAGCAACATGCAGACCCCAGGTGCCTCGCAACCATGTTGTATCACGGTTACCTAGCTGACCCAGTCGATACTTTCCAGCTTCTGGTCGACCCTCCTCGGTGGCAGCCCTTGAGTGTAGCACCAGAACTCATGCAAGACGAGGAAGAGGATGCCATGTCCATGTTGCAACTCTTGGCGAGTAGGAAGGTCCTAGATCCACACCCAATTAATGGGATATAAAAATTAGGGAGATCAATGGGATATTAATAGGATTTTCATGGGATTTTAATGGGATTTTCATGGGATTTTAATTGGATTTTAATGGGATATTAATGGGATTTTAATGGGATTTTAATTGGATTTTCATGGGATTTTAATGGGATTTTAATGGGATTTTCATGGGATTTTAATTGGATTTTAATGGGATATTAATGGGATTTTAATGGGGTTTTAATTGGATTTTAATGGGATATTAATGGGATATTAATGGGATTTTCATGGGATTTTAATTGGATTTTAATGGGATATTAATGGGATATTAATGGGATATTAATGGGATTTTAATTGGATTTTAATGGGATATTAATAGGATTTTAATGGGATTTTAATGGGATTTTCCTGAGATATTAATGGGATATTAATGGGATTTTAATGGGATATTAATGGGATATTAGTGGGATTTTCATGGGATTTTGATTGGATTTTAATGGGATATTAATGGGATTTTAATTTGATTTTAATGGGATTTTCATGGGATTTTCATGGGATTTTAATGGGATATTAATGGGATTTTAATTGGATTTTAATGTGATATTAATGGGATTTTAATTGGATTTTAATGGGATATTAATGGGATATTAATGGGATTTTAATGGGATTTTCATGGGATATTAATGGGATTTTCATGGGATTTTAATGGGATATTAATGGGATATTAATGGGATTTTAATGGTTTTAACGGGATTTTAATGGGATTTTAATGGGATATTAATGGGATTTTAATTGGATTTTAATGGGATATTAATGGGATATTAATGGGATTTTAATGGGATTTTCATGGGATTTTAATGGGGGATTATTAATGGGATTTTAATTGGATGGGATATTAATGGGGGATTTTAATGGGATTTGGGATGGGATATTAATGGGATATAATAATGGGATTTAATGGGAATTGGATTTTAATGGGATATTAATGGGATTTTCATGGGATATTAATGGGATTTTAATGGGATTTTCATGGGATTTAATGGGATGGGATATTAATATAATGGGATTTGGGATATTTATTGGGATATTAATGGGATTTTAATGGGATTTTCATGGGATATTTATTGGGATAGTAATGGGATATTAATGGGATTTTAATGGGATTTTCATGGGATATTAATGGGATTTTCATGGGATATTAATGGGATTTTAATGGGATTTTCATGGGATATTTATTGGGATATTAATGGGATTTTAATGGGATTTTCATGGGATATTTATTGGGATAGTAATGGGATATTAATGGGATTTTAATGGGATTTTCATGGGATATTAATGGGATTTTCATGGGATATTAATGGGATTTTAATGGGATTTTCATGGGATATTTATTGGGATATTAATGGGATTTTAATGGGATTTTAATGCGATTTTCATGGGATATTTATTGGAATATTAACGGAATAATGGAATATTAACATATGAGCCGCTCTAAACACCTCCCTTTGGCGTACCCAACATGATACGACATAGGGAGTGACTGAAAGTTTTCAGAATGGTTCATATGGGTATGGGCCGGTCAAAACCATTTTGGGACCGGGGGGATTACCATCCATAAATCCCAGCGATTTTGTTGATCACCAATGTACTGGGGGACCCATCATCATTTTTGTTTAATGGGATGTTAATGGGAAATTCATGGGATATTAAGTAGTATGATAATATGTAATGTATGGAGGTTTCCCCCGGGTAAATGAACAGTTTCCTAAGTCGTGAGGGTACCCCAGTCCTCATCCAGTCGTCATGGGGTTGCCTGAAAATAGGCTACCCCATTTCATCCAGGAAAAGCATTGTATTCCCATTTGGAAGTGACCGCCGGGAAGGAGGAAATAGCTAGTTTCAGCTTAGTGAAGTGTATTTATGTATATATATATATGATATAATATATATGTGATATATATCATATATATAATCATATATGTATATATATCTATCATATATATATATATGATGTATATATATATATATGATTATATATATGATATATATATATGATATACATTTATATTATTTATAATTGTATGGTGTATATATAGATATGATATATGTATATATATATGTATATAGTTGATTCAGCCAGAAATGTTATCGATTTTTGCCGTCAACTCAGGATGCAGTGAACATCATCCTTCAAGTCATCTTTCAGTTGCCCTACATGCGATCCTTTGACCTCCGCAGGCGACTTCCAAACATTTTTTTTTTTTGTGGCTGCCGTTCCGTTCAAGCAATGGGGTTTGTTTAAGGTGATTTTCCAATGGAAAATCCACCATTTGGTGAATCTATAGTGTATATTTGTTATTTTTGGAGGACCTCTTAAGCAAATCCATTGTTACATGGGCTCTTGACCCAGAATCCATCGCCCCCCTGTTGTGAGGACTTTCTTTTTTTTGAGAAATTCTAGTAGGAACAAATGTATGACATAGAATTTCAAAGACAAGACACACCGGGCAAGAGTGAGTGAATGTCATCCATGAACACCAGCTATCAGTTGGGGTAGTACGCGGCTTTTGACTCATATCCACATGAGCAGTGTTCAAAACGCTTGTTGTTTGATGTTTATGGATTCTACTAGCCAATACATTGGGAATATCACGATCCATTTGGAGAATCCCTATCAGCAAATCAGTAAAAAGGGACACAGGAATTTGAACACTGACATGAGGCTTTCTGGTTGGTGGTTTCGAACATGAATTTTATGACTTCCCATATATTGGGAATGTCATCATCCCAAATGACTTTCATATTTTTCAGAGGGGTAGGTATACCGCCAACCAGCTTTCAATACGTCTTCTTTTAACCTAAACATACCTTGGGTTGGTGAATTTTCACCCAAAGCGACGCCAGGAATTGCTTCAGCTACGACGGGGTCAAGAGAATAGAGGACGCAGATGCATGCCAACTATAGAAAGTTTTATAATGTCCATATCTGATATAGTTTATTATTTGTACATATATATATATATACATATCATATAGTTATTGATATTGTATATTTATTATTTATTGATATATATGTATATAGTTTTATATTTATGTATATATATATATACTTATATACTTATATATATATACATCTTATACAATATTATATATATATATATATGTATGGGCAAATTATAACGACCTCACTGTTCTCCCGAACCCTGGAATCATGGTTAATAAGGGGAATCATCCCAAAATGGCCGCAAGATTCAGGTTAGTGAAAGATCATAAATTGCCCAGATATGTGACCGATGTATATATATATATATAGATAAGATACATTTATACTTCCAGTTTAGGGGCCTACTGAATTTAGGAGTATGTATTTGTCAATTTGCCCTTCGATTTAACATAGCTATGGAAAATGGACGGTTTATAGATCTTTACAGATGATTAAAATCTGGTGATTTTCCATCGCTACATTCAATTACCAAAGGGCATACTACCTGGTTTTCACATTTCTTTGGTGAAGCCTTCGTAGAATTGCCTCCATCCGGGCTTTCTGTGACAGGAGCAACTCAGAGACATGGACGGCGTGACCGGGGTGATCAAGAGCGCCGATGGGGCCGGGAGTCGCGGGAGGGAAGGCTTCTGGTGGAGGAAGGAAAATAGACAAGGCAGGTGAGTTGGCTAAGTTACCAACAAAAAAAATTGGAATAGTATGATATTACATTTGATTGTTACTGCGTTACTACATACTATTACCACAATTTGGGATAATGTGAGATTACATTTTGACTGTTCTTATTAAGAAAATTGGGGAATAGTAATAGTATAACAGAGATGTGGTTTGCCCGACCAATTTTGGTGCTGTACCGACCAAAAAACGTCTCTGTCTCTAGTCGACCAAACACAAATTTTTAGCATCACAACTTATCGTGTTTCCCACATGAGCACCAAGATGCAGCACAAAACAATGGGTTGGAATTCGGCAGATAATTCTCCTTTGGACTGCCATGACTTAAGATTTTCATTTTAAGTTCCCCGTGTGTAAAGATGGAAACCTGGAGATGAACTGTGATGAAAGGCTGTGAGCAGATGTGGCGGCTATGGCTCAGTCATTGAACTTTCCCACAAGAAAACCCAAATGTATGGGAAGCTTATGGGAATAGCTTAGGGGTACCATCATTGGGGGTCCCTATTTAATAAAGTCCATGGAAAAAAAGATGTCGACTCCTCAAAATCAAGCATTCGGTTAGTCCATTCCTACACCCTGTCCGATCCACGGTCTTCATTCTTAGTTGTTGGCTTGGTTGCCCTAAATACCGCCCAATTCTTGTCTTGAAACCCATGTTTGCCGCACCTCTAAATGTGATATCACAATAATTGTCCCCCTTCACACATGTACCAATCTTTTCATTCTCCACTACTTGGTGGCTCATCCCACGGCTCGTAAGTGGGTTATAACCCCAGTTATAAATGGGATTTCTGTAGGGTTAATCCACTGAAATCACTGGGGTTATAACCCACGTACGATCATTTCCCGCACGGGAAACCATGGATGATCCATAAAAAACTCCATTGATGATCGAATCCGTTGGCAACGTCCTTCCCCTATTTTCAGAATAGGCTCATTAATTAGACATTATCTGTTTGGTGGTGACTGGAACCATGGAATTTTATGACTGTCCATTCAGTTGGGAATGGAATAATCATCCCAACTGACGATTCGTCCATCATTTTTCAGAGGGGTAGGTCAACCACCAGCCAGGTATTAATGTCATTAAGGAGTCATGGATTATCCCAACAAGATATTCAGTGAACCAAGTGAGGTGGCAGGTATTTCAACCTCCTGGGAAATCCTGGAACTCAGCGGACATGTGAAATTCAAATGGGCAAAAAAGTTGCTGTAACTGTAAACAATGGGATTTTTCACTGCAATGACTACCAGAGGGTAGATGATGTCAGACTGTGTAGATGGTATTGAATTATTGACTTATAAAATCTTAGAATCTCACATCATTTCCAGGTGTCTACTTGTTCAATCTCTCTAGAGGTTACTATACCGGGTTACTGAAACTATAAGGTATCCATGTTTGTGGCTTTTGTTGCCATTTTTGCAGGTGAATTCCCATACTTGGCCAGGAATTTTGTTGTTAAATTCACCCCAGGGCCCAGTAACTGGACATTGCCACATTGCCCCTACCCCCAATTTGCCCAATTCCGGGGGTTGCATATGGAGGTTTCCTGAGTCATAAAGGTACCCCCATGACTATGGAACCTCCCATATTGGATGGTTAAACCATGTTAAACTCCTAAATGGATGGTTGATTTCATGGAAAATCCTATAAAAACCCTATGCAACCCATTTATAAATATAGACTAAATGGAAAATCCTATGAAAACCCTATACAACCCCCATTTATAAATGTATAATAATATATAGAACCCCCTGTAAAACTCCACTTGCCACTTGCGCAGGCTGTAAATGTCCACAGCGGCAACCAGCTTCGAATGACGTTGCACCTCGGGGATCAGGCGCCGAACCGAGTCGGAAGAAAGGGCTGACTTTGCTTGGGGAAAGTGGTAAACCAACATGGCTGTATCTACCATCTGGTTATTTAACATAGCCATGGAAAATCACAATTTTTAATAGGTAAACCATCTATAAATTGGCCATTTTCCATGGCTATGTTAAATAACCAGAGGGTAATTATATATACACTTGGTGATTTGGAACATTTTTTATTTTTCCATATATGGGGAATAATACTCCCAACTGGCAAATATTTTTCAGAGGGGTTGAAACCACCAACCAGAATATATACTTGGTGGTTCATCTCACTTACTAAGTAGGTCTTGCCAATAGAACGAGTATCTGTACTCCTTGGGGATATCGAGTGCGGAGAAAGTTCAAATACATACTTTCTGGTGCAAGCCTAGTCAAGGTGGTTGAAGGTTTCGTCACTTATTGGATGCTACTACGTGGTATCTTCAGGTGGATGAAATCAACCGGGACAACTGAAATTCCGGTTGGACTTTTGGGCATCTTGGCTGACAATGTTTCAATAGCTTGCGATCTGGAGGAGACAAATAGAAATGAACTTTATGGAACGATCAACGACTCTTTCACATTCCTGGATTATCCTTTAAAAGATGAGGGCGTTTCAGGTTTTACCTGGCAAGATCCAGAGGATGCTGACTGCTTGGGGTATCAGTTAGTAAGAGGTGCGCCTTTTTCAAGTGCTCCGAAACTTCTGAGTTGGCTGATGCGTGAACGTGGTTCAGCCGACCCTGAGGGACAACAGTTGGCGAGAGCTTATGGATTGAGTCTTTCCATCCCATCTGTGTCATGCTGGGCATTTTCTTTTCTCTCGGCAGAGCGGCTTCACACCTTCCCTGCCCTTTTTTTATTTTTGCTCATATCCTGGGGTTGCCTCTGCAGGGTTTAGTCCTGTAGAGCGTGCGGATTGACTCGCACCCCCTTCTGCCTAAGTTATGAATTATCTATATACTTGGTGGTTCATCCCACTTACTAAGTAGATTATAAGTTATAAGCCTACTTTCAAGTGGATCGAATCCTAGGTATGTTAGTTATAACTTATAACCATTTTTTTGAGTGGATTGACCGAAACTTATCCCACTTATAACTAGGGATATAACGTATACTTAGTATTAGTGGAATGAGCCAACAAGTACATATATTTGGATACATAGCCAAATAGTGGGTCTACAACTACTTGTATGATGTGAACATGTAGTGGGATATGGGATATATACAGATTATGCTATACCAATATTTTTTTTTGGTCGGTGCCCCATAGGTAACTACTTTGGTTTATAGCTCCGTGGATGGTTCAAAGCCTTGCATACCTGTAGTGAACATCAACATATAACTCTCAAATGGTTCTTCATAGCCCTTTCATTGATACTTATTAAATTGATCCATAGCAATGTTTTTAGCACTACAATTGTACTATGTGTGTAAAAAGATAGGCAAAAAAACAGCACAAGGTAGTTTTGCATAGGACGGTTGATAAAACTGGTTAGGCCCTGACTGGTTGGGAAGATGACTTTAATCACGTATTCAAATGATCCAAGTTTGTGTGCGCATACAGCTGGTCATAAACTCTGAAACTGGAGGGACAAGTCTGATCTTGGTTGGGATGTTCACCAACCCAATTTTACAGGCAAATCAGGGATGATTTTTGGATATGTTTTGGTGATCCAGAATCGCAACCTCATGGGGATTCAAACCAATCCCCCTCAAAGCTGTCCCCCCAATAACTGGGTTTAGGACATGAGAGACAGAAAACTCCAATGGAAGCAAGCGAGCAGCTTCACCGCATGCAGCTTCATGCAGCTGGGGCAAGGGTGGCGTTTGGTGCGATAAAAATAAGCACCTGGTGCCGCCCAATTAGCAGTTGGGATTGATGTTGATGAATATCCAGCCAAGCACACACGAGAATGGGTATATTCATACCCTCTGGTTATGTCAAAATAGCTATTGAAAATGGCCATTTATAGTGGATTTTCCCATTAAAATATGGTGATTTTCCATAGTTATGTTAAATTACCAGAGGGTATATTCATAGATACTCGTTGAAGCAGTTAGATTTTAAAGCAGGTCACTGAGAAAGATTATCTCAAAAGACATATCCTTATTTGTTAGATATCCCCATTTCTATGTTGGTAAAGACGTCAACCTTTTTTTTTGTGTTCTTCTGCCAACAAATTATCCCATGATATGTCCCCACAAGATGTCCCAAATGCATGAATTGTTCGTAAATCTCCTCAATTCTCTTCATTTGGTTCACTGGCAGCTAATTATCACTAAGTTCTTTTAATAATTCGACATAATCAGTATCCGTCTTATATCTATAACTTTCTTCTTATAAGCTAATTATAACTAGTTCACTAGATCAATATCAGTAAATAATGGATGGATTCACTTACTGTATCATTAAGTTCATATAATATGTTTGTTTTCTTTTATCACTTCTGTAAATAATGGATTCAATATAAGAAGACACGAGTTGTTACATCCCTTCCATGGCTCAAAAGCCTGATACTCTGAGAACATTTGTGGCGTTTCCATGGAGCAGCGTGCGTGCATGATAGTTTTTAAAGCACCATTTGCTGGATGTTTATTGTCATATATATAATTATATATATACACATTATTTTTGTTTTAGATGGTCTAGCCATTTTGATGGGCATATTCACTTCAACTGAAGTGCTTTTATGAGGAACGAGGTCAGTTTCTGATGTCCTACTTCTATTGTGGACACCCATCTTCATCCACTGATTTCTTGCGAAGTTTCCATCATGGGAAAGGTGACGAACCCATGCGAACCAGTGCTACCCGTAACGGTGTCACGTAGATGTGGAAAATCAGAGCATGTGTTCCATCGATTTCCCCAGGGTTTCTCCATGGCTTGCTCAGTTGGAGAAATCGCAGTTGACCAAAGATGTGGATTTCACTGCTTCTCGGCCATCAGGACGACCACACATGACCTCACCATGGATGGTTAGTGGAATTTGACAAAAACGTTCCCCAAGTGAGCTATTGAAATACCATGGGTTGATTGGGTTACCCTCTGCTATTGAACATCACCAGTTTTAATGGGTAAATCCACTATAAATATAAATGGTCATGTTCAATAGTTATGTTAAATTACCAGAGGGTATAGGGATTATATATACTATGTATTTTAATGGGGTTGATGAGAATCCATAGTTAACCTGTTCACCAACAAGTATAATGAGATGGGATAGGGGGTTGTTTGACGCAACTAACTCTAGATGTATCCATTACCCTCCAGTAAATTAACATAGACCCTGCCAGATATGGGTTGGAGGAAGTGTTACTAGCAGTTGCTTTTCTGCTGACATTGACTTGGAACTCTGTGCAGCAAGCTCAAGGACATGTGGTGTCGTCTGAAAGGATACACGATGGCCCACTGCAATATCTGACGAGACTGCTCGAATGCGACATGCACCCTGCAACCACAGCAGTGGTGCGGCCCCTTGGACCATCGATATCATCGTTTGTGACTGGTAATTGGTATGGCAAGACTCAGGATGTGGCATATGACCTTGTGGCTGCCGCAAATGGAATGGCCCGAGAAGTCATTTTGCGAGGAATGGACTATCGGCGCGCTATGCGGTATCTGAGCAAATCCCTTGACATGAAGATGGAGGTACGATTGGAAAACAGATCTGAGCCTTTGGAGTGGTTTGCTTACAGGGAGCAGGCGTGGCTGGAAAGATTAGTTTCCTCTAAAAATTGGTGATTTTCAGGGTCCATGTTGATTTACCAGAGGGTACATTCCACTTAAGCTAGTCATAAATCTTCGGCTTCAGCTTGAGAATGGCAATATTCTTGTTGGATCCATGGGACTGGGAGTCTTGAAATCCTACGGTGGATGCGCCAGCGAAATCCTGCAGCAAAAGGATGGTTGAAAGATGTTGAAAGCCTATAAATAGTGGGATAAACTTCCTATCTATAGTAGAATCCCCCTACAATGTGGGGCCGTTTGATAGTGTTCAGTTGGTGAACATCACTTCAATAACTATGGCTTATGATACCTACGTATAACTATCGTTTTCATGGGATTCAGAAAGCGATTTATAACTGGGGGGGCCCAGTTCCCATCCAACTCAAGAGTTGAGTTCTCTCAATGCCAATATGGACAGTCTGAAACCAAGGGCTTCAGGGCACTACTGCTTCAATCTAAATTGATGATATGATTTTTATGGAAAGTATTAATGATTGGTACTTCAACTGCCCAGCGGAATATATGATATATGGGGGAATTATGGAACTAGCTTTCCCACCCAAGCATGATTTGTTTGCTTTAAGGCTACCCCGCAGGGAAGGTTGTATACAATTAGAGGGATTGGATGATTGGAATGTTTCGCAAGACCATGTGTCTCAGTATTAGTCATTAAGATGGTTCGCAAGGGGGTGGAACCAAGTCATGTTCAGTGTCCGTTCCCTTATTATCATTGACCGATCTCATACGCCACATTTGAGCCTTCAAAAAACCTCCAGTGATTGGTTGTGGAAGGTTATACCAACAGGCTGTTTGGGATTATTATAACCCACTAATAGGAATGTTTACTAACCAGCCAATAATTCGCGCGACGGTATCAATGCGGTATTCGTCATACACCACATCTAGCGCAGAGAACACCCTTTTTTGGCTAAGCAAATTGCGCGTTCTAAGAACATGAAAAGAACAGGAAGAACGTCAACGAGGACTTGAAATGCGGAAGCAAGGGACGTTGCATCGATCCAAAGATCACCTACTCGTACCCTGTAGAAGCGTACACCTCTGCACTCAATGGTGCGACAGCATGAAGCTCCGAACTGTAACAATTTTCTCAGTTGCTGCTATTTGGTGAGCATGAAATATGCTTAACTTCGACACCAGCACGGTGCAATTTGGTTCCTAGCCACTTACTTACTGGGATGCATACCCAAGTGGCCCAAGTAGTGATCAAGTCCTGTCATTCCTGGATCCATGTTTGATGATATCTTATACCTTTAGTATCCTTTAGTATTTTTAAGGCATACCTAAAATAAATAGACGATCATGATTTAAATCCTAAGTTTGCGCTTAAACATTAGTCTATTAGTTAGTTTTTTTGACCCCCATCAACTAGTTTGAGATATCATATACTCCCCCCTCGTCTCAGCAGTCAAGCTGGTCGTGATAAACCACTTTAATATAAATTCATTGTATATTCCCCATGGAATGCTTGGTGAAATCCCAATGTTTTCCATCATTTCTCTTGCTTAAATCATGTGAATATATGTGAATTCTGCCATGCTTCTTGATTAAGTCACTAAGAATCACCATAAAAAATCACGATGTGTCCAATTAATTGTCTTGGCAAAATCACCATTTTGTCCATCATTTTCATGGTTAAGTCACCCACTTTTCCCAGCATTTTCCCAACAATATACTTCGATTTTTTCGCTATAAACCTCCATTTATAAAGGAGTTTATAGGGTAACTTCCCATTGAAACCTCCATTTTTGATGGCAATTTCCATGCATTTTCCCAGGTGGATCAAAGTCTAAGCCACGCCGATGCGGATCCATTCCTGGAGACCGCGGCCTCCAGGTGTGCCGGAAAAATGGTGGAAAAACGATGACAAACGATGAGGGAATGGTGGTTTCACATGGGAAAGAGATGGAAAACATGGTGAAAAGCCCTGGAAAAGCCTGAAAAACCATGGAAAAAAAACATGACATGTGGTGGTTTTCACATGTTTTTGACCATGACATATATTAAAACATGGTGGTTTTCCCATGTTTTCCATGGGGAAAAAAATAATGTGATTTAAGTCTGAAACACATCAGTGATTTGCTGGGATTTATCTGGATAGCTGATTCACTGATGTGTGATTGCTAAGTTAGTTTATAACATTTTATAACTAGTTATATATCTGGTTGGTGGTTTGGAGCATGAATTTTATATGACTTTCCATATATTGGGAATGTCATAATCCCATGTGACTTTCATATTTTCCAGAGGGGTTGAAACCACCAACCAGTTATGTTTGTTGGTTTATAACCCCTGACTGTAGATGCAGTCATTATATGTCATTATAATCCACTTAAGCTAGCAACCAACTTAGCTATGATGGTCAGTGGGCAATTTTCATAACCTCATCTAACTACGGACAGTATATTGGATCAACGTGGGGCCCCAGATATAAATCGGTTTATAAATCCCATGAAAACGATAGTTATAGGTATCATACACCATAGTTATTGAAGTTATGTTCACCAACCGAACGCTATCGAATAGGGGCCCCACATTCTAAGATGATTTGAACATCAGATTTGATTATACCTTTGGAGCACACCCCAAGTCCATCACCCCAAATGAAAGGATTCCTTTTGCCATTTTTAGGTACTTTAGGTGGCAAACGGTATACTCTAGGGGTCTGTTGGATTTTGCCTTATGAGCATGTTGTTTTTCCGCTTTGTGAATTATGAACATATTTGCGGAAGGCTGGGAGGGAATTGATCAATATTTTCAATATACCATTGCAACTGGGAAGAATCCTATAGGATGTTTAGGACAGATCAAAGGTGAATCGGAAGTAAAGATTGAAATCCTAGCTTTTGTCATTGAGCAGATCCCACCATTACATGAACTATTGATATATCATGATATATCATAATTTAAAAATCTCCATAGATCCAAGAGATAACCTGGTGAAATACACGACAACTTAACTTATTTAACTTGGCCATAAATCAACGAGAAAAATCCCGATCAAATGGTTGGTTAAACCATGTTAAATCTCCATGTCTGAAGGAAGATCAAGCACCAAGTACCCTCTGGTTATTTAACATAGCCATGGGAAATGGCCCATTTATTTATAGATGGCTTACCTATTACAAATGGTGATTTTCGTTAAGTAACCAGGGGATAGCCCTGTTTGCGACCACATCTTCGCCGAATTTAGATACCACTGAGATTTGGGATGATTCGAAGAGAATATGTCGAGATTTGACAAACAAAAAGTCACAACCGGTTGACCTGAAGAAATGGAAGTTCAACTTACACATGGATTGAAGCTTTGAAAAAGGTGCCCATGTATGCCATGTATGGGTCTTCGTGGTACAAAAATGAGGGGAATGATCATTGCGCAGCTTCTACGTTCTAAGTACACGAATTGTTTTCCCTTGCCAGCCGGGACTCAATCATACTTGCGCCTAGTTATGGTGCTTGGAAGAGCTCCCGGGACAGATAGATATGTTTTGCCCTGAACCGTCATTGCGCAAGGTTTGTTCTAAGGAGATAACGCGCCTTTTTCCTGAGCCCACTCTGCTTGCGAACTGCGCTAAGAACAGACCTTTACCAACAAAGAGCTTATGGTTTTACCTTGCTTCCGTTCGGTCCCAGTCTTGCTCCAATTTGGTGTAACAGCAAATCCATGTAAATCCTGTAAATCGGTAGCTTGGGTGAATACAGTCACAGAGACCCCAAATCTACCACCAGAAGTGTATCAGAAAGGGTGAATACCCTCTGGTGAACTAACATAGCAATGGAAAATCACCATTTTTAATGGGAAAATCCACTATAAATAGCCATTTTCCATTGCTATGTTAGTTCACCAGAGGGTATCTGGTAAAGGAAACCTTCAACAACTTCCTGGTATGTACCCTATATCTTGGTCGTCAATCTGCCCTGGTTTTCTGAAACGGCGACGCCGTCACACTGTTTCACTGCCGCGGGACTCTTTGCGTAGTACTTAAGGATTTTGGCACATGGCCAATGGGAGAAGATTGACGATTTTTCAGGTCATGCTCTTCCTAGCCAACAAGATCGTTTTGATGGGTCGAGAGAGCCTGTTTTCAATATCATCGTCGAGGACTTGCCGTAGCTCTTATCCTGCCAGCTTGGACCAGTGGGAACTGCTGAAAGTTGCGCAGATTTTCGGATTTTTGTTTGACGTGGAGGACATCATTATTTAAAAACACCACTTTTGTTGGTGCTTTGGAACTTTTTTTATGACTTTCCATTCACTTTAGGAATGTCATCATATGTCATCATTTTTTCCCATTCAGTTGGGAATAATATGAATAATCATCCACTAATAAGTATATTATTATGTGGTTTCCATATATTTTCCATATATTGGGAATGTCATCATCCCAACTGACTTTCACAAACCATGATTTTTCAGAGGGCGAAGCCGGTCAACCACCAGACCAGAAAAAGGGCCGGAAAGTTCACCAGCGTTCAGTTGGTTTATGTTTGTGGTTGATTTAACGATTGGGTTTATGGTAGATATTTCACGAACTAGTTTTCATGGGGATTATCATGGTTTATAAGCCAACGTTCACATCACTGGGGGGCCCCATCCTGTAGATATTAGATGATATATCGAACTACTTAAGGGGTCATAAACCAAGAAACATAACTGGGGTTCACCAGCTGCCGGTTGACGAATAGAGGGGTCACCCCCTACAGGTCGCAACCAACAGGTCACCGCCCGACTTCTTTTTCAAAAAATCCAGCCGCTATGTGCCCTGTATTGGGTTGTCTAATGGTGATGATTGATCTTCAGAGCCAAAACCTGTTGGCTTTTTCTGTTGAAGTCCACCATGCAATCACAAGCAAAAAGTCGCAGTGGCTGCTAGATTCCGATGATAAAAATAGCTTGGGATTTCATGGTACGTGACGTAACCACATTTCATGGGGAATATCCATGAATCAATGGCCATGCAACAGGAACCGATTTATTGGAGGTACCGATTCCATATATGTTTGGCCTATTTTTCAGGCCTAAATTTCAGGGAATATCCCCACAATTCATATGGCCAACAATATGGTACTGTACCTCCATTTGAGGATCCTGAGTCATTCCCATTGAATGTTTGGGGAGAATCCCCTTCTCAACCATTTGAACAGACAGCGAACATTGTGTAGCTTAAATTTGATGGCCTGCAGTCCGCCACACGAAACAGAGATTTCTGTTGTGTGTGTTTTGGATTAGATGGATTTACCCTAAGTCACGATTTCCAGAAGATGCCTTAAAGTGATTATCCATTGATTATCCATCGATTATCTACTATTTGTTTGTCAATTGATTATCGATTATTCATGCTTAGAAGACTAAATCTCTATGTCTATTTCCAGGCGCTAAGCATTAGAACTTGATTGTGCACGCATTATCCATTCATTATCCATTCATCATCCAAGTAAAACACTTTCAGTACATTTTTTTGGAATGGTTTCATTTATTATTCATTGATTATTCTTTGATTATTCATTGATTATCCATTGGTTATTGTTTGATTATCCATTCAGATTAATGATTACTAAGACTAAAAAGCCTATAGTAATACTGGTTACAAGATGTTAGCCTGGACTAAATCTTTGTAACTGGTTGGTGGTTTCAAACATTTTTTATTTTCCATAATATATGGGATTTGACTTTCATATATTTCAGAGGGGTAGGTCAACCACCAACCCAGATCATAATTAACCATTATTAACCACCATTAACCACCATTAACCACCATTACCCCTGCCTTTTTTGGGGCTTTCCGGAAAGTCCGAAACGCGAAAAGAGCCACAGGTCGGAGCATCCTTGGACCCAAGGAGCCTCAGCGTCACAGAGACCGCCACAGAAGGCGGAGTCATGGGCGCTTTACGATCGGATCGTGGGGGGAAAAATCCATCCGAAATGGGGATTTACCCGGCCTGGTTATGTCAAAATAGCTATTGAAAATGGCCATAGAAATAGTGGATTTTGCCATTAAAAATGGTGATTTTTCATAGTTATGTAACAGTTTACCACCTGGTAAGGTGCAAAACCATGGTGATTTAGACTCAATCAATGGTGATTTAGCTTGTATAGCTAGCTAAACTGCTAAAGCAACTCGATGGATAGGGATTTAGGATGATTTAGGCCTGGGCAACAACATAACTTACAACCCCCATTGACTAGTTCAATTTGTCTATCAATCATAAACCTAGCTATTGAGGTAGTAAACCAACTTAGCCAACTATGAGGCACTACCAAAATTGTGTTTTTGGAGTATATATCATAATGTTCCCAATCTTTCTCACAATATACCAATTGTATCCCAATTGTGGTAGATTGTATCTCAATTTCCATTATAATCAATTATGTTTTTGCAGATATCGAATATTAATCGTTCCCATTATAATCCATAAGTAAACATATGTATGAGTACATGATGCGGCAATCAAAAGCAAACTTCCTTTATAGTTTGGAAACGGTCCACCTGACCAATTCCCTTCGCAGAAAGCTGAATGCCTTCCATTTAAGAGGCCTGAGAAAGATGTTGAAGATGACAAGTACTTATGTTGACAGGAGCAACACACACCAGCGAGTTTCTGACAAAGCATCCCAAATTGCAAATCCCGAAGGGAATGATGTAAAACCGTTTACAGATTTTCTTGATGAACGTAGAATTGAACTTGCTGGACATATTCTTAGAGCTCCAGCCAAGGAACTTAAAATGGCAGTGCAGAGTTTAGGGATGTTGGGAAACGTAGGTTCGGCAGACTTAGACAACATTGGACCTTCAATTCTAACAAACTTATTCACAACAAGTTCCCTCCAAACCCCGGGTTCGCCCACACTCAAACAACACATCCAAACAATATGATATACTTATCACCAGAGGATGAATGAAAACACTGGCTATACGCAGTGATTTTGATTTAAGTTTTCAGGATTTAGGGATTTAATTTAGGGTTTTAGGGTTTGTTGTTTTGGAAAGTAAACATAAAACCCTACGCAGGGATTTGAGCATTTCAAAGGATATGCGGGATTCGCCGCGCGCAAACCTAGGGTTGGCAGCGAACAAGTTTAGACACATTGACGACTATGAGGGACATGATTTCCAACATGACAACATCATGTTGACTGCACGCCAACGCTTAATTTATTCTTGTGACTGGGTTGCGCGCATCTGTCCAAGCAACCTTGCAACTTGATGCCCAGTTGCAGCAGTGGTTGCATAGCGAAAGAACAATACCATTGTATCTCCATTAATGTGGTTAGAACAATAATAGACTACCCATTTGGGAATGGTTTGAATCCCACCTATAAAAATGGTGATTTGGGGGATGGTTTATCAATGTTAATCATTGTTTTAACCACATTACCCTCTGGTTATGTCAAAATAGCTATTGAACATGACCATTTATAGTGGATTTCCCCACTAAAAATGGTGATTTTCCATAGTTATGTTAGTTTACCAGAGGGTACATCCCATAAATTTGTGGGTGAAAATCCGTCCAATCCGTCCAGAGGCTGTGCCGGATGTGAGCTCCGTTCCATTGGAAAAGCCCACAGGTTCGGAACGGGTGCGTGGCTTGTTTGGCGCGGAGGGTTTGGGTGTCGAATTGTGACTTACCCTCTGGTTATGTCAAAATAGCTATTGAAAATGGCCATTTGTAGTGAAGTTTCCCATTAAACATGGTGATTTTCCATAGCTATGTTAGTTTACCAGAGGGTAACTGAGAATAGTTTGTTTGGGAATTTTGATTGTTTATTGATGGTTGGGTAGTTTGATTGTTTATTGATGAATGGGTGATGGAACACTCAATAGCGTTGAGTTACGATGCTTTGAGTTACCAAGGTAACATACTGCACCCGCTCGATTTGTTTTGTTTTAATCCCAGAAACTGAATATCTGGTTGGTGGTTTGGAACTTTTTTGTATCTTTCCATTCAGTTGGGAATTTCATAATCCCAACTGACGAACTCATATTTTTTCAGAGGGGTAGGTCAACCACCAACCAGAAATTAACAAACGCTAGCAGTTAGGCTAGTCTCTAAAATAGCACATGGCTAAGAAATCCAGCCCCTGGATTTCTTAGCTATGTAAGGGTTTGAAGAGCCTTGTGTAGAGGAGACGTTACCGGGCAAGGGTTGAATTCAATACTTGGCTAAGAAATTCAGCCCCCAGATTTCTTAGCTATGTAAGGGTTTGAAGAGCCTTGTGTAGAGGAGACGTTACCGGGCAAGGGTTGAATTCAATACTTGGCTAAGAAATTCAGCCCCCAGATTTCTTAGCTATGTAAGGGTTTGAAGAGCCTTGTGTAGAGGAGACGTTACCGGGCAAGGGTTGAATTCAATACTTGGCTAAGAAATTCAGCCCCCGGATTTCTTAGCTATGTAAGGGTTTGAAGAGCCTTGCATAGAGGAGACGTTACCGGGCAAGGGTTGAATTCAATACTTGGCTAAGAAATCCAGCCCCTGGATTTCTTAGCTATGTAAGGGTTTGAAGAGCCTTGCATAGAGGAGACGTTACCGGGCAAGGGTTGAATTCAATACTTGGCTAAGAAATCCAGCTCCTGGATTCCTTAGCTATGTAGGGTTTTGAAGAGCCTTGTGTAAAGGAGACGTTACCGGGCAAGGGTTGAATTCAATACTTGGCTAAGAAATCCAGCTCCTGGATTTCTTAGCTATGTAAGGGTTTGAAGAGCCTTGTGTAGAAGAGACGTTACCGGGCAAGGGTTGAATTCAATACTTGGCTAAGAAATCCAGCCCCCGGATTTCTTAGCTATGTAAGGGTTTTAAGAGCCTTGTGCAGAGGAGACGTTACCGGGCAAGGGTTGAATTCAATACTTGGCTAAGAAATCCAGCCCCTGGATTTCTTAGCTATGTAAGGGTTTGAAGAGCCTTGTGTAGAGGAGACGTTACCGGGCAAGGGTTGAATTCAATACTTGGCTAAGAAATCCAGCCCCTGGAATTCTTAGCTATGTAAGTGTTTGAAGAGCCTTGCGTAGAGGAGACGTTACCGGGCAAGGGTTGAATTCAGTACTTGGCTAAGAAATCCAGAAGAGCCTTGTGTAGAGGAGACGTTACCGGGCAAGGGTTGAATTCAATACTTGGCTAAGAAATCCAGCCCCTCGATTTCTTAGCTATGTAAGGGTTTGAAGAGCCTTGTGTAGAGGAGACGTTACCGGGCAAGGGTTGAATTCAATACTTGGCTAAGAAATCCAGCCCCTGGATTTCTTAGCTATGTAAGGGTTTGAAGAGCCTTGTGTAGAGGAGACGTTACCGGGCAAGGGTTGAATTCAATACTTGGCTAAGAAATTCAGCCCCTGGAATTCTTAGCTATGTAAGTGTTTGAAGAGCCTTGCGTAGAGGAGACGTTACCGGGCAAGGGTTGAATTCAGTACTTGGCTAAGAAATCCAGAAGAGCCTTGTGTAGAGGAGACGTTACCGGGTAAGGGTTGAATTCAGTACTTGGCTAAGAAATCCAGCCCCCGGATTTCTTAGCTATGTAAGGTTTTGAAGAGCCTTGTGTAGAGGAGACGTTACCGGGCAAGGGTTGAATTCAATACTTGGCTAAGAAATCCAGCCCCTGGATTTCTTAGCTATGTAAGGGTTTGAAGAGCCTTGTGTAGAGGAGACGTTACCGGGCAAGGGTTGAATTCAATACTTGGCTAAGAAATCCAGCCCCCGGATTTCTTAGCTATGTAAGGGTTTTAAGAGCCTTGTGCAGAGGAGACGTTACCGGGCAAGGGTTGAATTCAATACTTGGCTAAGAAATCCAGCCCCTGGATTTCTTAGCTATGTAAGGGTTTGAAGAGCCTTGTGTAGAGGAGACGTTACCGGGCAAGGGTTGAATTCAATACTTGGCTAAGAAATTCAGCCCCCAGATTTCTTAGCTATGTAAGGGTTTGAAGAGCCTTGTGTAAAGGAGACGTTACCGGGCAAGGGTTGAATTCAATACTTGGCTAAGAAATCCAGCTCCTGGATTCCTTAGCTATGTAGGGTTTTGAAGAGCCTTGTGTAAAGGAGACGTTACCGGGCAAGGGTTGAATTCAATACTTGGCTAAGAAATCCAGCCCCTGGAATTCTTAGCTATGTAAGTGTTTGAAGAGCCTTGCGTAGAGGAGACGTTACCGGGCAAGGGTTGAATTCAGTACTTGGCTAAGAAATCCAGAAGAGCCTTGTGTAGAGGAGACGTTACCGGGCAAGGGTTGAATTCAGTACTTGGCTAAGAAATCCAGCCCCTCGATTTCTTAGCTATGTAAGGGTTTGAAGAGCCTTGTGTAGAGGAGACGTTACCGGGCAAGGGTTGAATTCAATACTTGGCTAAGAAATCCAGCCCCTGGATTTCTTAGCTATGTAAGGGTTTGAAGAGCCTTGTGTAGAGGAGACGTTACCGGGCAAGGGTTGAATTCAATACTTGGCTAAGAAATTCAGCCCCTGGAATTCTTAGCTATGTAAGTGTTTGAAGAGCCTTGCGTAGAGGAGACGTTACCGGGCAAGGGTTGAATTCAGTACTTGGCTAAGAAATCCAGAAGAGCCTTGTGTAGAGGAGACGTTACCGGGTAAGGGTTGAATTCAGTACTTGGCTAAGAAATCCAGCCCCCGGATTTCTTAGCTATGTAAGGTTTTGAAGAGCCTTGTGTAGAGGAGACGTTACCGGGCAAGGGTTGAATTCAATACTTGGCTAAGAAATCCAGCCCCTGGATTTCTTAGCTATGTAAGGGTTTGAAGAGCCTTGTGTAGAGGAGACGTTACCGGGCAAGGGTTGAATTCAATACTTGGCTAAGAAATTCAGCCCCCGGATTTCTTAGCTATGTAAGGGTTTGAAGAGCCTTGTGTAGAGGAGACGTTACCGGGCAAGGGTTGAATTCAATACTTGGCTAAGAAATTCAGCCCCCGGATTTCTTAGCTATGTAAGGGTTTGAAGAGCCTTGTGTAGAGGAGACGTTACCGGGCAAGGGTTGAATTCAATACTTGGCTAAGAAATTCAGCCCCCAGATTTCTTAGCTATGTAAGGGTTTGAAGAGCCTTGTGTAAAGGAGACGTTACCGGGCAAGGGTTGAATTCAATACTTGGCTAAGAAATCCAGCTCCTGGATTCCTTAGCTATGTAGGGTTTTGAAGAGCCTTGTGTAAAGGAGACGTTACCGGGCAAGGGTTGAATTAATTCAGTACTTGGCTAAAAATCCAGCCCCTGGATTTCTTAGCTATGTAAGGGTTTGAAGAGCCTTGTGTAGAGGAGACGTTACCGGGTAAGGGTTGAATTCAATACTTGGCTGCAGCTAAGAAATCCAGCCCCTCAATTTCTCATCCATGCAAGGGGTTGTTTCAAACAAAGCGCGCACTGCTCTTCTGAGCCTGGCCCTGCTCTTTAAATTTCTTAGGCTTCAGCATTCCAGGATCCTTCAATTTCTAGCTTTCCATTTCCTTTTACATTCCGCAAAAAGATATCCAGCCCCTGATTATCTTATACAAGGAATTCTTATACAGTGCAGGGACTGTAATTGGGTCCAGGTCAATACCTAATCAACCGAATCATCCTGAAATAAGTTTGACAAGCATCCCAACCATAGCTATTCCTGGTTGGTGGTTTCAACATGACTTTTATTTTCCATTTCATATATGGGATGTCATCCTTCCCGTTGACGAACTCCATCATTTTTCAAGATGGTGAAATTGCACCACCAACCATAGCTATTCTGTTTCGATGTCAACGAAAGGACAGACATTGGCTAATGCTTTGACATGCAAACATTAACTCCGTTAATGGAAGAGTTTTCTGGTGACCTTTCGACAACTTGCGTGGCCACACAGGGATTAGGGTGCTCCATTCTGGCATGTTCTTTCAAGTAGAAAAACCATGGCTTGGAACGTGTTTTGTAAAGAAGTAGAAACCATAAGGTTTGGTGAATTACAAAGACCTCGCCACGACGGAAAAAACAGGTGGCTTGCCAAATTCTCGAACTTTTTTGCAAGATATCCACGATTAGCCACATCATAGTATCAACATGCGCCCTATCTATTGACATGTATCTCATTATGTCAATGCTCACGATTTTTCTTGTTGAATTATGGTTAATATCCCTATGTTGCCCCTTAGATACCAATGTTTGATGATTAAAAGTGGAGAAAACTACCATTTTTCACAGGTGAACCCCAATTTTTGATGGTTCAAAGTAGAGAAAACTAGTATTTTCATCTATTTTCCCACCACGTTGGCTCCTAAAAACCCACCATTTCAAGCGCCGCCCTTCGTGCCAGCTGCCCCTGCGGCCCCTGCGGTTGGTGGACCACCAGTGGGGCTGGGCGGTCCTGGTAACTTAGCAGCCTTGAACAAGAAGGCGTCGGCGTCGACCGAGTGGATGGTTGGTGGATGGATTCGGTGGAAAATCCTGGCGTTTTTTTTTGGGCAATGGAACATATATATGCTGATGATTAGCTGGTTGGTGGTATGTGTATTAACATGGATTAACTATGTTTTATGGTAGATGTAACTATGGGGATTAGAATGGTTTATAAATCAACAAACACTGGTTGGTGGTGACTGGAACCATGGAATTTGGATTGATTTTCCATTCAGTTGGGAATTTCATACTCCCAACTGACGAAGTCCATGATTTTTCAGAGGGGTAGGTATACCACCAGCAACCAGATAACCATAGCAAAAGATGACAGGTTTTGGGAAGATTGACCATGGCGATTTCCTAATCCCCAAAAGATAGAAACGTATTTTTTTTCTGTATAAGTGGATAGATTTCACCATAGTTAAGAGATAAACAATGTTGCCAGGATGGTACAGATGATATACCCTCTGGTAAACTAACGTAGCTATGGAAAATCCCCATGTTTGATAGGTAAATCAACGAACTCAAGGGCCATTTTCAATAGCAAACTGTAACAAATTACCAGAGGGTATACCAGATATTTCCATGCGTCATTTTTTTCTATCATTTTTTTGGGGTTGCTGTAAGCGTCATAGGAATATGATAGGGATATTTGTTCTCGATTTGATCCTTGCTATGGGGATATGAAGGGGACAAGTCTACCATCCACTACTTAGACTTAGACTATATTTTTAACCAACCGTTTCAAGGGATATCATGTGGGCATATACTGGGGACATGTAATCTACCATAATGGATATGGAACATGATGGTCATCATGCGGATGTAATAGAGGAAGTGGAATATTTTTCTGATTATATTGATACTCAAGGTGGTTCTTCTGGCTTGGGTTTAAGCAAGATCTATGAGGATTCATGGTGAAGGGTGAATGATCTAAGAGGACTCATGGTGTGCTAATATTTGATTATGAGAGCAAGGATTGGAGCGTTTTTTTTTCTTGGGTGACTGAATGATGATTACTGCATGAATGATTTTTGACGAACAATGATTAAGCGAGTTGTGGAAGCCTTCAATAATTGCACCAGCAATCCGTCCAGAGAACTCTAGAAATTACTGGATCGTAACTAACTGGTTGGTGGTTTGGAATATGAATTTTATGACTTTCCATTGGGAATGTCATCATCCCAACTGACTTTCACTCCATCATTTTTCAGAGGGGTAACTCGACCAGCAAACAGCGAAAAAAAATGGTCAACATCATCCATTCATTCCATTCAGTTCGATGTTGGGATTGTCCAGCTTTAGAACGAGCTCACCGTCTATGGCTTTTAACCAGCCATGGGGATATACTGAAGGGATTGAGTCGCCATAGATGACTCACGTCTGTTTTTCCAGTACGATTCTCGTCTTTCCTTCAGTTCAACGTCTGTGTTTTTTGGGGATTACCCGGCCTGGTAAACTAGCATAGCTATTGAAAATGGCCATTTATAGTTAGTTTTCCCATTAAACATGGTGATTTTCCATAGTTATGTTAGTTTACCAGAGGGTACAGATGATTTTGCTTGTAGTTCTGTTATGTTCCAACTGGCGTATGCCCAAAACAAAATTTGCTGGGTCCAGCAACACAGAAAATAAACAGCAAATTCAGCGGGTGTGAGGGCCAAACAAATTTGTGACCATGTCCCAACATTGGCCTGTTTGCAAGAATTCTAAACTTGTTGTCAATGTAGATATGACATAGATATGACATATATGAATAAAACACTCACATTTTTTTGCATCCTAAAGTTGTATTTCCTCCGGTACTCAAAAGTAGCTAACTGGTAAATCCCCGAAGTATCATGGAGGTATCATGGAGGTATCATGGTGGGAAAATCATCGAAGTAACCCGGTGGGATTTTCAAGCAAGGCACGCGACTGATTACCGGAGGGTATAGGTTTTGATCCATGTTCATGTGTGTTTTAAACAGGCAGATGCCATCAACAGGCAGATGCCAAAAACTCGAGATAGCGTAGCGGCTACTCTGAGAAAGGGCTGCGCTGGATGGTGAGCTGTCAATTTTTTGCCGCGTTTCTGATGTCCAGACGTGTCAGTTTTGCAATTTTTACCCTCTGGTAATTTGTTACAGTTTGCTATTGAACATGGCTCATTTATAGTTGATTTACCTATTAACAATGGTGATTTTCCATAGCTATGTAACAGTTTACCAGAGGGTAAATGTTTGATTTTCGAGTTTGGCGACGACGCAACCCGTGTTCGCAGTGGTTTGTGCGCCCTGCGTCGTCACCGTCGTAGAGACAACGATGTCCAGCCTAACCCTTGCTGCTGCCTACCTGATAGATGAGATCGATGCGGTGCTGGTAATTTGTGTTGTGATTTTCAGGGAAGAAACTTGGAGTTATCAAGATCGAGCAAATTGGAGGACTCCCCCAGATACTACAGTTATAGTTGGTGTAAGTTGTGCAGTATACTTATTGTTATTATACTATGCTATACTATACTATTCTATACTAAATACTATACTAAATACTATACTAAATACTATACTAAATACTATACTATACTATACTCCACTATTCTATTGTTATTCACACCCCAAGTGGCGATTTTGTCCTCCACATGGACCCATCGGCCCCATTTCCCGCGGCTCGCCAGTTGAGCAAGTCGAAGACGGGGGGCAGTTTGCCGGACCCCAAGAAGCGCGCCAAGAACCGGGCCAAGGCAGGGAGAAGCGCGGGACCATAGGAGAACATATCACTGGCCATTTCAGGATCGGATTGATTGGAGGTACCTACCATATATAAGGCCTATTTTTCAGGCCTAAATTTCAGGGGATATACCCCCAATTTCTATGGCCAAACATATGGTACGTTTACGTAGCTCCATGTATTGGATTTTGGAATGACCATTGACCATAGGGGACCATAGGGACCATAGAGAGGACCTAGGTAAAACTTGGTGAACTGGTTGAGTTTTTCTGAATATATTGGGAATCATCATCCCAACTGACTTTCATATTTTTCAGAGGGATTGACACCACCAACCAGTGAATGGTGGAGTTTTTCTGAAATTTATGAAGCCATTTTGATATTGATGATCATTTATGTCATGTCGTCGAGTCTTTTTTTGAAGTTGTATCCAAGGTTGGCCAGGCATTGGGAGAGTTCCATGTCTAAGGTCTGTTGCCAGTTTTTCTTAGGATTGGCATTGGTGCCTGTTGACAACAAGGCAGCATGTGCAAATAGACTGGGAAAAAAGGATTCTCCTGTTAAACGTACAAGGTAGTGCCCCCAAGATAGCTAAGTTTGTTTATAACTCTAAATAACTAGGACTTATGGCAGATATATCAGATATATCATATCTATAGCTAATGGTGGTTGTAAACCAACTTATAATTGGGGTGGCACCAAATTGTAACTGTTTGGGGTTCATGTTCGATTTCCGGGTGTAAGCAACTCTATTGCTCTGCATCTCTTTTCAAATTATGTCAGTGTCAGTCTGACTAGGGGCAGTGATATCCCAATATCTATTCTTACCAGGTTTGCCTAAACGTTAGATGATGTTAGCATTATTCCCCTAGTACTAACCACAAATCATGTCGTTGATGGGATTGGCGGCATGGTATGAATATTAGTACAGTATACATATACACATATGCAATCCTTTTCGGGTGTCGAGTGTTCCTCCTGATTCATAGTTCTTTGATGTTCTTTGTTCATGGATTGATCGGTTGAACCATGTCCTGATTCGTTGGTCTACCTGCTAAAAAAAATGTCTTTTCCAATGTATTTCCCGCTACAAAATGCATTAAACATGTTGGCACCGCTTTTTCCAATGTATTTGTGCCACCCAAATTTAAGCCATACCCAAATAGCATCATGCCCGGCTATCATCCACAGGCAGCCCCACCGCCCATGCTGGAGTGCCCTTTTTTGTGGGGGATCTATTGGACTTTTGCAAAATCAAAGGGGGGTTGAGTAACAAACAGGTGAATGTTGTTTGCATGTAAACATACTTTGACCAGATGATGCCAGATAAATCCAAATCATTATCTGAATGGAAAATATTGGGGAGATCAGATCTTTCCAGGAAACGTGCGGGTGTCCAATCAAGCAGAAACCGTGATTTGATATTATAGAAATCCAGAGTTTATCAAGGAACAACTTTATGTTTTGAACCAACCAAACTTGTGGTGCCCATATGAATTTGTAAGTTGTGCATATTACATATTGATGCTTAGTTTGTAATGAGTAAATCCCATTGATTGGGATATATATATATATACACATAATGATGCATATTTTATGTTTATCCAGGAAAACTCATCGATGGCTATCCAACTGGGACATTGTTGTGGCGGATGTCAACATATCTGCAATTGATCTGCATTGATGTAAGTCACAACAATTTAGAGACTGCCAAGCTACTAAGATATGCCAATACATCGGACAAACACATAGATAAAGTCTTCTTACAAATAATGAGTCCTATTATTCCAAATATTGAGTTAACAATGGAGAGTGCTTTTCAGCCCCTTGGTTCCGTACATCATCGCATTAGTTATATGCAACCTGGCAGTGAACAAAATCCAGCAGCTTGGCCATATATAGATTGTCAATTTGTCGAAAAGGGCGATTTCCCGTTGTAGCTATGGAAAATGGTCTATTCATGGATGATTTACATAGATTTACCTATTCAACATGGTGATTCTCCATAGTTGGTAAATTACCAGACTGATTGGTGGTTTGGAACATTTTTTATTTTTCCATTCAGTTGGGAATTTCAAGAAGGTCGCGTTTTTCCGCGTAGTGGAAACGCCGGGTACAGCTGCGAATTCATAGCCTCAAAGTCATGCAAATACCTTCAACATCTCACTGGGACATCACGTTTCCAAGGGGTGAATCATCCATAATTATCTCACTGGGCTGCGTTAGATCAGCCATGATGATGGAGTGGCCCCAGGTCCCTTTTTACGAGTCACATTGGGATTGGGAGCAAGATGACTGGAGGTCCAACCAGCAGCGTATCTTCGCCAAAATGAAGAAATGCCTCGGCGTCGCATCCGGAAAAATCTTTGAGCTAATGTGGCGCTGGGAGAGATTGTTTCAAGTTGAAAGACCACGACCTTTGCCTGAAATGTTTTTTCGAAGTTGACAGAGACGCATCGAAAAACCTTCAGAGTCTCGATGAGCTGGCAGGGTATCAAAGGTATCGTGACACGTACCTTTTGGCGTCCAGGATTGCCTTGGTGCATGCAACCTGCAAGCAACATGTACTGTCGACAATAATCAAAATCTGATGTCGACTGCATTTTGGTGGACTTTGTGACAGTTTGAAAAGTATTTTGCAAGTTCACAACATGCGTTGGGACGAGGAGTCGTCCGAAGTGCTGTGTAAATTCTTTTTGGCAATGATGGTCATGTGCCAGAACGCAGCCTCGAGTAACCTGGAATGGCATGATGATTTTCATTGTGGTAATCTGGGGGTAGATCAACCACCAACCAGCAGAGGGTGTATCCAATTTGTTGATCGTTGAGTCCTGTTGTTTTTCTTCGTGTTTTGCAGTTGGAATCCTCCTCGAACTGATTGGAAACCCCCAGGAACCCAACAAATCTATATATCTTTACCGGGGTTTTTAGCCATGGTAACCCATCCAGTGATCAGGCGTTACAAATGGTACCGCTATTTTTTCCCACTTAGATTATGTTGTTATATTTTGTTATGTTAATTGAAAGAGCCCACATGTTGTAACTAATTAGTCATAATTCCAATTCTACCACTGAGAAACCCCAAATAATCACCATTTACTGTAACAAAAAACCAAGTCCCCAACTGTTATTGGCAATACTGTAAATACCAGTATCACTTCAATACAATGAATTGGCACTGTGTGTATGTTAAAGCCACGTCTAATCGTAGATACAAACCCCACTTAATCTATCTCTATATTTATATATATATAGTTGGAACACAACACAGCTATCTAGTCAGCGGCCATTTCAGGTACCTAAATTGGAGGTAGCATATGTCATATCTATGTAAGGCTAAGGGAAAATAGCCCTGAAATTCATGGCTTAGTGAATGGTACAGTAGCTCCACTACAGCCAGGTACATCCCCAGGGATCACATGGACAAGTGGCAGGTGAAGCTGCGAAGCTGCGAAGCTGCGAATGTCATGCTTGTTAGCGCATAGATGTCCCAAATTCCCATTGGTTGGTTGATGAAAATAGAGGGGTTTGAAGAAACCCCTTAAAACAAATAGGTAAATGATGATAGATATTGATAGATGGGATTAACCAGCTCCCGGCCCCTCTATTTTTACCAAAAGGACATTATTGGGATGTCATGGCTACATTTTCTAGCGCCACCCAGTGATTTGTTGATTTATACAATTTATACCCAGTGATTTCTATGAGAGAAACGCATCCACCAATCCAACAGTGATTGGAGTCATCATTACTCAACGATTTCGAACTGGGGGACCACCGGGACCACGCAGCGAAACATTGCCGAGTGGGGATGAAGCCAACATACATTGGCAGCCAACACCTCACTGCGACCTCACAGGAACGATGGTTAGTAAGGTAAGTATAGCAAAATAGCCTTATTTCGAATTAGTGAACTGTTGCAATTAGCCGGCAAGATATAGAAACGGCTGTTACATCTCCAAGTTTCAGCCTTTTGGAGCGACAACTGGATGTACCCCGAAGGGAAAGTATCCATTTGGCATTGGCTGGTGGTTCCATTTGTGCCCAGCAGCCGGGATTTTGGCATGTTTTATGGGGGTTTCTGAAACTGAAAAAAATCCCCAGTCGTCACCATGGCTTTCAATACTAAGTCATGGTCAAATGACTTGGATGATTTGGGCCCCGTTTTAGGAAGCCTCCATATAGATACATTCATCCACACTGCCGCTTTCTTCTTCTGGACATATGCCAGAACTATGCCAATTTCCATTGTGAAAAACACACCTGTTGTTTTTCAAGGTGGCAAAAAACTGGTGGCTAGAACCAGGTATAGAAAAGTGATCACCAAGCATTCTATTTTATGCAAATAACATAGTTGGAAACTGCTGGTTGGTCCACAAAATAGAAACAATTCCAGTTGAACATGATACATCCGATATGAATCAATCAAGGGATATATCATGATGACAAGCATCTCTTTGTATTTTTAGCAACCCAGCAACCAAACAAAAATGGAGACTTCCAGCCAATCTTACAGAAGAACATTTCGGAGATCCAATAATTACCCTCTGGTAAACTAACGTAACTATGGTAAATCACCGTTTTTAATGGGAAAATCAACTATAAATGGCCATTTTCAATAGCTATGTTAAATTACCAGAGGGTACTTAGTTTGTTGATCAGAAACTACTGGATCAAAACTTATATGTTTCATACAGTGGATGGAAGAAATCCTCTACCAGTTGATTGGTGGTTTATCCCATTATTTAGAGTTTCAACCATCCAAGGTGGTGCAGGATTTCGCAACCATCCACAGTACCATGGTTTGCAGTGGATGAACATCCAAAAATTCCAGCTGTTTTGGGGATGACCATGACAGCGGATTCGCTTCGCCCGCAGGTCGCTCCTGTGCAGAATTCTGCCCGTATGCTGCTGAGTGGGGGGTCCCATTCGCAGTGAAGCTTCACTGTTTGGTGGAAATGTCCTCATTCTAAGTGGATTTCTGCATGAGCAGATAGAGTGTTGCGGGATGCTATGGGATTGTTTGGTTGTAAGCAA